GGAATTGGACAGAGAGGTAAGCTACTTTCTGCTTTTATTTTGGTTATTTGTAACTCATAGGTTTCTTATATCTTTTTCTTGATGTTGGGTAGAATTTAGCCAATAGGCAGAAGCCTGGATGCGGAAAAGGAACAGGTGTAGACCGGTCAAGAACTTCAACAACTCTGTAATATACCATCCTTTTCTTATGTTTCGTATTCTGTTTTAAATTTTAATATACAATAATGCTGTTATAATTGATTTCTATTTAATGTGGATCTAAACTAAACTTAGCTGAAGTCAGATCTATTTTATTTTCCTTGCCGTGTTTAGTTTGACAAAATCTGATAGGTTTTAAGGATCCAGGGATGTTTCCTTTTTTTCCCTTGATGCTTAAAAAAAAATTGTACATTCTTCTTTTCTTTCAGTATTGGAGCATGTATTGTTTAGCATGTTACATCTAAAAGTGTTTTTAATTTTATATCTTTGCTTGTAAGGAGTGAATGCGCTACAAGTTAATGAATCTTGTTTTTGTACTATGTTTCTTGAAAATTACATCGGTTGTGGTTTTGGTTCATGATTAGGCCAGTATTTAATTCTTAACCATAGTATAGTGTTGTCTTATCCAATGTCTTATCCAAACATCTTTGCAATGTTTCTTGAAAATTACATCGGTTGTGGTTTTGGTTTAGGAATGATCTTAATTTTATGTGGCCAACTTTGTTCTGCCTCTATTGAAATCTTTTTTCAAGGTTTTGGGTTTGATAGCATTTTATCATATTTTTGTTAGTCTTCTTGTAAGGTAACAACCTTTTTTGTTGCAGTTCCTTGAAAAAGAAGTTCAAAGACAAAATGGCTGAATTTCAGGTAGGTCAGATATAGATATTTTAAGATGTTATATAGTTGCTCTGCATGTACCTTCATAATTTCTTAACCTCACTATGTTCTTTGTATTAACAATTGCAGACTCTGAGGGAAACCATCCATCAAGAGTATCGGGATGTTGTTGAGAGACGTGTTTTCACAGGTTGGGATCTCACCCAATACTTCTTAATTTGCTATAATATGGTATTATAGGGAGCTAATATTCTTCTTCACTGGTTATTATGATTTCCAGTGACGGGCACAAGGCCTGATGAAGAGGTATGATTTACTTCACTCCTGATATAGTGAATAATTCTTCATCATATTTGGCTCATATCTGATTGTTCGGCAATTTACAGACAATTGAAAAATTGATTGATACTGGAGATAGTGAACAAATATTCCAGAAAGCAATTCAGGAGCAGGGACGAGGCCGGGTTTGTCTTAAATTTCATTTTTTGATCTTAATTAATAGAACTTTCATACTTCCATAATTTCAGTAATCTTTTTTTTTTCATCCCTAGAACCTATTTTGTTTCAGAGGATTTATTGGTGGAAGAAGATATAAAGCTATTTTCAATATTCAAAGTTGAACTTTTATTTAACAGTCTGAGTCTCTATTTTCAGTATTTTCTTCTACCCCATCTCAAGCTGCAGTGATATTTGTTAGTAGTGGGACTGTGATTTGGTGGAAGATATAAGTTATTGGAAATTTGCTATGATTAAATTGATGTTGGGTGTGTTTGCAGATAATGGACACCGTATCTGAAATTCATGAGCGCCATGAAGCAGTTAGAGATTTGGAGAAAAAGCTTCTTGATCTACAACAGGTACTGAATCAGTATCTTGCCCTGAGGTTCCACCATTTTGACTATACGAACTTTAATTATTGCCCATGCACAGATTTATTATGAATCAAGAACACTTACTCGATCCTTCAATGCTTTTGGATAGTCTCATTCAGAAATGTTTTGACTAAAGAATCTTCTGACTTTATGTGCATTTATGCAAATACAAGCAGAAGCATGAAAATACAAATCACCATAGGAATGAAATTGCATTGAAGATCATATGCAGAGGACATTACTGGAATCGATAATTAACAATGTAAGTTATGCAGATATTTTTGGACATAGCAGTGCTGGTTGATGCACAAGGAGACATGCTTGACAACATAGAATCTCAGGTGGTTGCATGGTTAATCAATTCTGTATAGTCTTTTGGGAATCCATAAACCTTCCAGTCAAACTGTTCCACTCATCATTTCAAACCCTCAGGTCTCAAGTGCAGTGGATCATGTGCAGTCTGGGAATACAGCCCTCCAAAGAGCGAAAAGCTTACAAAAGAACTCAAGAAAGTGGATGTGCATTGCTATCATCATCCTTCTCCTAATCGTTGTAATTATCGTCGTTGCCGTGATCAAACCCTGGAGCAACAACAAAGGTGCTTAGATTGACGTTAATTTGTTATATATAATCTATATATACACACATTATAAGAAATTCCATTGATGATCCTTGTCGGCTGATGGTGTGCATAATTTGATGTCTATATTGTGAACTTGCATTTTATTGTTTCTCTTTGTCCGGTTTTGGTTACTGTTATGATCGAAGTTTGAAAGGGGTGGTTTCTTTCTATTTAAGAAGTCAATATCATGGTCTTGGTTGATTTCAATATTCATTTTTATTGTAAAACAACAATTGAATTTTAATTTGAGGTTTCTTTCTATCAAAGCTTGTTAATTCACACACTATATATATGAAGTGAAACATACCGTCTCTAAATCTAATTAGTCGTTCGGATCCCATTCTTCATCTTGATCAATCAATGAGTTTAAGCTATTTGCAACATCCCGACCGTCGGGTTCTAGCTGTTCAGGCGCATCATTATTACCTTCTACTGGTTCGGTTTCATTCTGGTTCACCCCCATATAAAAAATCTGCCATTTATAGGTTTAGTGGTTTCAGCAGAGGGAGTTCTACAAAAGCATTCAGGTAGCGGATGCGACAGAAAAGAAGTTGGCTCAGACAACAGTGATTGTCTGATAAGGCCATCTTCACTCGTTGAGATGTTCTTTAGCCAATAATGTCCAATCACGCTGCGGATGGTACATATCATCACGGATAATGTTGAAAAGCTCTGCAACTATTTTCCTGTTTGAAGAGAGAGAAACAGACGGTAAGTGAAACAGAAAAGATTCCCAAGAAGTTTATCAGTTTATCATCAGAATTCAGAAGCTTTACAACCCCCATACACACATATCTGGGCTAACATACAAGAAGACTGATATTATGGTAGTGTGTGGATCATTCAAAAAGACTTTAAGTTGATTATTCAGTAAAACCTGTGAGGTCGATATGTTGGAGAAGAAGTCCTCTCATACAACCTTTATCCTATATCCAAGCCTGAGAAATCTGGCCATCCGCTACCATCATTGTTGAAACCAGGAAAAAATGCATCTGCTTCCACAGAGACTATATAATCAAAGGCGTCCCAAAGTAACATGTGAGCTTGCATCCCAAGATCCATCAGAGACTTTTTCGTTCTCGGTAATCCAACCGTACCAGCCTTCTTTTTCATGTTCATATATGGGCCAATCGGGAGGTTAAGGGGTCGGGGACGTGGACCAGCCCTATTCCACTCTTCTTTGAGTTGTCCCTCATTTTTTGGACTAGGCATCTTGAAATTATCAGGTGGAAGAGGTGTTTCAGGACCAACCAAATCCGACAACTCCGTTTTGCTGCACAACGAAGTACGATCCACTAGGTTTCAAAACATAGCACGTAGAGGGATAAGAAGACACTGACTGCCAAAAGTTTGAGAACCTACCAGGTATATAATTGTTTTAGGAGGATACACCATTGCACGAAGAAGTCCAACCTGCAAAACAATAGGAAGTAAAGCACAATATCCAATGGCATTGTCATTGAAGCATCCCTATGACAGTAGAAGGCAATATGTCTAGGAGCCATAAATGCTCGAGTTTGGTAATGTTCTAATGGCATTAGATCATTGGAATGAACTCAGATTTTCTATTTCCATTTCTGCCCCATAGTTTTTATTATTACTAAACACAAAGGCAAAAACAAAACTCTCGTAAGCCCTACGACACCCGAGTCCATAACAGTGAGTTCCATTTGTAACATACCTCTTCAGGCATGAGAGAACATGAATCATTTACTCTCCGCAAGTGTGAGTCAACGCTTAGTTTTTCCTTAGCCATCCCTTGTTTGATCATCTGTGCCCTTCGATGTTGTATAAGTTCTGTATGAACATCCTAAAAGCAGCAGCAAATTTCAGGATTAAGTAGTGAAAACTAGATAAAACACGACAAACATGAAAACTAAATAAAAGGCATAAACAGAAGACCTGGAAAAGTTCAGTACATCCGTGATATGCCAAGGTGTCCCTCATTAAACGCGGATGATATGCTACGACAGGTTGTCCACATTGTTGACGAAAATGGGTAAAGAAAACGAAAGAACACGAGAATTTTACGAGGTTCGGCAATGTGCTTACGTCCTCGGTGCCTAGGCGGCGCTAGAATTTTATTCAATGATATTTTAGGTCTAGGTTACATCTCTATTTATAATAGAAAACCCTGGTACATAATTACAAAATCAACCCTGTATCGTACCGCGGGGGCTACGCCCCGCACCCCCAACCCACATAATTTGTAACCCCACAACGAGACTTTCTTTGTAAAGACAGTTGATGTTCGCTTCGCTCACTCCGCTCCATCTCATGTCCTCTTTACTGGTATATTTATGAGTCATACCTAACACACATGCCCGTAGTCTGCAGGTAGATTAGAAAGCTCGGATTCAAGTAAAAATAGGCATCCGAAACTCATACAAGTATACATGAAGAAACATTAACAAACAGAAGATAAGTAGCAGCAGGACTCGGATAAATCTTGACCAAGCAATGGATTACTTCATATATTTTACAATCGTACTCCCATGTCTTAAGAACTTCAGCTCAGCAGAAAAGAAAATGGAAACTATACCTCTCCACCATCTGGCGGCCAAGGATCTGAATTTCAGGACGAAACTGGAGAGCATGAAAGGCAACCCTGCATCTAAGCCTCTGAAACTCGGACATACTAGGTGGAAGAATTGACTGAAAGATGTACATCTACTACTTTAATATTAATATTATACTTTTCCATTAATTTAGAAAGTACTTAAATATCAAGAAACAGAAAATATTTTCGATAAAAGAATATATAACATATAAGAATCATACAAAACTGACCTTGATCGCTTAGAGCCCCTCTTCCATCAATAGGGACTCCCAACGCGTCGACCACAAGTCCTAGCATAGCCTTTCCCGCAGGAACATCCACAATAGATCCAGTGCGCTTGACAAGATCTCCTTCCTTAATAGCGGTATCACTACCAAAGACAACAAGCCCTACATTCTCATTCTCAAGATTCAAGGCTATTCCTTTCACACCGCTCGCAAATTCAACCATTTCCCCAGCTTGAATCTCGTTCAATCCATAAACACGTGCAATCCCATCTCCAACTGAGACCACTCGACCGATCTCATCCGCTTGAAAATTCGTGTAAAAGTTGGTAATTCGACTTTCTAATCGAGTCGTGAGTTCCGCAGCTCTCAATAAGAGAGCCAATAACCCTAGTAACACTCAAACTCTGGAAAAGGTTACAACACATCTAGTGTATGTAGATGACATCATAGTTACGAGTAATGAAATTGAAGGAACAAGGAAGTTGAAAAAATTATCTTTCGAAGGAATTTGGCTTCAAAGAGCTAGGGAAGTTGAAATACTTCTTAGGCATTGAGGTGGCATGTTCGAAGCAAGGATTCTTCATCTTCCAGCAGAAATATGTGCTTGACTTACTGAAAAAACGAGGAAGATGAGTTGCAAATCAGTTAAGACGCCAATCGAGTTTCATGGGTTATGCGATGCACCAAAAGAACCTATGGTGGATAGAGAGAGGGTCCTATCAAAGGCTGGTTGGAAAGTTAATTTATTTGGCACACACTATACCAGATTTAGCCTTTGCAATAAGTGTAGTCAGCCAGTTTGCATAATCCGAAAGAATCAAATCTCAAAGCAGTAAAGAAGATACTACATTACTTGAAAGGCAGCCCATGCAAAGGAATTTTGTTCAAACATCAAATGAACCGAGGCAGTACACTAGAAGCATATACGGATGCAAATTATGCAGGGTCTTTAGTCGACAGAAAGTCAACATTGGGGTATTGTACAATCCTAGGTGGAAATCTTATAACCTGCAGGAGTAAGAAGCATAATGTAATAGCAAGATCAAGTGATAACTCAGAATTTAGACCGATGCTTTGGGAGTATGTGTGTTACTCCGGGTAAAGATAATCCTAAATGACTTACGAATAAAGTGGGTAGGACCATGAGGCTTTATTGTGATAATAAATCAGCTATCAATATTGCTCACAATCCTGTTCAGCATGATCGAACAAAGGATATCGCAGTTGATATGCATTTCACCCGGAACTGTTAAAAGATAGATGATAAGGAACAGGCTAAAATAATTATCGGGGCCTAGTCGATTATCAAGCAACAAGGACAAAACCAATAAAGTAGCAATTTGTTGAAGAGAAAGTAAACAGTATATTGCAGTTCTACTAAGCAAATTTGGATGTGGAGAGTTTGATAGTAAAGAGGAAGAGTTTAAAATACAACTCCTTAATATAAAGCTGGAAACGGTAGAAATCAATTGTAATCGAAAATCTTGCTAAGAGCATAACTTTTAAAATTGAATAAACCAACATTTTCGGTTGAAATTGAAAATATTACATTGTCCCTTACATTTTCAGTTGTAACCGAAATTATTACAAATTGTACAACTTTTGCAGTTGTAAATTCTAAACCTGTTGTAATATAACATTTTTTAGTTGTAACTAAAAATGTTACGAACTGCATAACTTTTTAAGTTCAACGTGATAATATTCTAAGTTAAAAACCCTATTAGAAATGATAGGGCCGGGTGCCAAATAATCAAACGCAATATGATTCCAACCGGGGGTCATAGGAAAAAAGAAGAAGAATAACAAGTAAAAAAGTAGGTTGCATATTTGCCGAAAGCTGGTGTGAATCTTCATATATATTCCCTGGATGCACTTAATCGAACCCTGACTGAACTTTTTCTGATCCATAGTTCATACATGGACATATAAAATGCATCATAATCAACCGCTGGAGCATTCCATTTAAAATGTTTCCTCACTTTCACAACATTGTTTTGCAGCCATGAGAGCTCTTCAAAGCTTATCCCTTGCAGAATCTTTTTCAACACCGGGATATCTACGTAATGCACCACCACCGAGAAGCTTTTCCAGTTGAGAATATCAGTGAATGGAAGATCATAGTGATTAGCAAGAATCACCGGCACACACCCGTAGTGCAGCGCATCGGTTACTCTTGCCGTGTTCACTTCGAAGCCTTTCACGTGTAGGCAGAACTTGCTTCTGAGTTGTTCTTCGCCGTCGTCGGTCTCAAGTCGTCCGAAATGTGCGAATATCTCGGTGTCATTGACCCAGTGTTTCAAAAGAGCTGCTCTTACTGGCGAATTCACTTGTCCTGCGAAAAAGGCCAGTTGGTTCCTGCAAACACATCCGGTCAAGTACAATTTGAATCAATGATCTAAAACAGGATTGTTACAATTGGATCGAAAAGGTCACCTTTTCGATGAAACGATTGATTTCGGATCTCGTTCTTTAGGCCAAATTTGAGGTAAAGAGACATCTTTGTGAGGAAAATAGCTCGGCACAAAATATGTGGATGAACATACAAGTTGAATGGCGTTTTCTTTAGCTTCAACAGCTTTATCCAAGGCGATTCTGCTGATCGAATGACACCCAACGTAGAAATGATCGGCCCCACCGGTCCGGTTCCAGAATGGGTACTTACTACTGATGTTGAAGATATAATCCTTGATGAAATCTTGCAGTCCCTCAGGACCAATTCGTGGGTCATGGCGCATGTCAGCAATGGAGAAAGGCATATAGAAAAGATCAGCTTGGTTGGGATCCTTGGTGATGAAATGGCTACTGAAAAGAGCTTTTTTGAAGTAAAGTTCACTGGCATAGTGACCTTTGGGATCAAAATCCACAGGCAACAGCACGTTTGCAAAGGGATCATCAGGTTTATGGGGATAAACGAATATCTTAAAACTCTTATTCATTTCTTTATAATCTTCAAGAAATGTCTCCGTATCATGATAAATCTCTGTGTTATTCATATTGTCTCCTGAAATACAAGTTAAATCCAGTTACTTGGAAAGTGAATCAGTTCAGTATAAAGAACAAAACTTGGAACATACCAGTAAAGCCAAAGAGATCTCCAAGTGGAAGAGACCATTGAATCTGCTTTGAATAACTGGAAGTTCTGGGAAGATCAAAGAACAAATCTTCAGCAGTATTGTCGATCGAAAACGGGATCGTCTCCTCATTGTCAGTGGGAACTTGGATGATCAGATCAAACAGAGAATAATTTGTGGCAGGTTGTAAGAAAGTAGTGGACTGGGGGTTTGTTAAGACACTTGAAGTGGTGTAAATGTAAATGAAAACCAGAAAGAAGCTAGTGAGGGCTAAACCTATTGGTAGGAAGAAGAAGAATAGCTTGAAAGTTGGGGGAAATTGTTGCTTTGGGACATTGTAAATGAATACAGAAGATTTCGCCATTGAAGACTTTGACAAGGCAATTTTGCTTCATGAAGCATTCTTTGTATGCTTTTATAGTTTATCTCAAGTTTCTTGCCTCTCAAGTTTCTATTGACATTTAAATAGTTATGGGATATGGTTATACATGGTACAAATGTAAATGAGGTATCTTTGTACATAATTGCTTGACTTGGTTTTAGAAAAAAACATCTTCTAAATATTTTTTGTTAAATTAATGCAAATAAACCCTGGAACTTCCCTCACAAAGCCAAATCTAGGGACTCCTTTTTATTCATCAATGTGGAGTATTTTCTTCCGAATTCAAATGGTGAAAGATCAGAAAGAGAAGAAAAACTATGTATGTTAGTTCTACACTGATCAAACTGTCGAGATTGTAAATCAAATCAATATATAGTCGAAGCTTTTATTTGAATTTTGTTGATTTTGATGTGTTATTGAAGTAAATCAAAGTGAGAAGAAATAGGGAAAAAAAGAATGTTTTGGTACCACTTAAGTCATATGTGATGATCGAAGAGAACCAAATGACAATGGAAAAGAATTCCGATCATGCCAAAGAAAAAAGGTTAAAATTTTAGGAAAAAGTCTCAAAACTCAGCATTTTAGTGTTGACACTATTAATAAAAAAATAGTGTTGACACTAGGCATGAACGAATCGACCTCGGTGGTATATAAATTATTGTTATTTCTTGAGGTCATGGGTTTGAGCACCATGCTTGTCATGGGTGTGAGCATTCAATGTCAAATGGTTGAAAGTGTTCTTTGAATAGATATTACCTTGTACTTACACCAGATTAATAAAAAAATAGTGTTGACACTAGACACTTAACGTCGAGTGATCAAAATGAGTGAAATTTGAAACTTTAATGATGAAATTGATTTTTTTTAAAGTTGAAGAACAAAAATAGAAACATAAAACAAGTTGAATGAGTAAAAAATATTTAACCCTATTGTTAATTAATGGTCATGAGTCGAAAATAACGAAAAGGAAACAAAAATCAAATTAAAAAAATGTCGAGGATGTAGCATTCAAAGAAATATATACATTGTCATCAAGCAGACTTGTCCTGGCAACATGTTTTGGCAGTGTAACTTTCAGCAATTTTCAAACTAAAACTCGAAACTTTGGCAATTAAGTTGGCAATTTACATGTTTTGAAATTAAATTTAAAGATTTTGACCTCTGCCTGCAAAACCATATCAAGTTTCAGGTGAAATAAATGTCAACATCTTGGATGTGCAAATGAATGACTATTTAATTAAGAATCAAGTAATCTCGGTCGTAAATGAATTGTTGTTATTATTTAAAGTGTTGGATTCAAGTATTGTGAATACCAATAGTATAAACATTCAATGTCAAATAGTTGAGAGCTATCTTTCAACAGATATTGTCATGTACTTGATAATAATAATAGTAATAATAATAATAAAGCAAATTTAAGACACCCTTTTCTTTGAAAATATGTTCAACTAGGAAGAGAATTTTTTTTCTTGAATCCTACACAAACAATGTTTTTCCATATCTTAGCCATATTAGCTGGTACACGCACATCAATATTATATAGTTTAAATTTTGTTTTAGTTAGTATTTTAACTATTTAGATATGTTTTAGTTAGTGTTTTAACTATTTAGATATGTTTTGATTTACTTTGATTAGTAAGGTATCAATTCTTTGGTTCGGGTGCCTCTATTTTCGGTGTCTAGCCTTGTTTTATACTGCAGGGGTGAAGATGGCTTTGTTGGTGGAGAGGAGTTGCGACTTCCCCTCGTTTTTGGGTTATGCCCGCAGCGTGTTTTCCTAGTCAATGCCAGTGACGGGGAAGGGTGGGGCTTGTTGTGCCGAGGATCGAAGTCTGATCCTCCATCAGTGCCTTTTGGTCAAGTTTCTTTCTGGTGCGCTGCGTCTGGTTTCATTAAGGCGGGTGAGTCTTGTCGTGTTGGCAATCGGGGCAGAGGCGTTTGGAAGTGCTGCTAGTGCTGGCCTTAGTGCTGTTGGTTCTCTTGGCTTGCCTCTGTTGTGTTGTGACCTGTCCGAATTGGTTGTTTTGAGCTGAGTCTTGGGTTATTTGGTGGCATTTGAGGTGTGCTAATGGTTGTATGGTTCGACTCGATTGGTGCATTCTTTTTTTTCAATCTAGGTTTAGAGATATTTTTTAACAATACTCTTCCGATGTCGTTTTTGTATAACCTTTCATTAATCATACAAAACCCCCTTTTAAAAAATATATTAGTTGGTAGTTGGTACATGTTTTAGTATTAATTTTGTTGGTGGAAATAAGGGATTATGTTTACTTTAGACGGTTTATTTCTTTTGGTTCGGTGGAGAGTTATTATCGGTTATCGGATAATGTTCAATCAATAGTGTTGATGATAAGGGTGTGGAAGGAAAGTGTCGAAACGTCTTTACAAATGAAAAATTAATCATCTTTTAATGTCTGCTTCGATTAATATTAATGGGTAGTTTGATGAGTCGCCACTCATTTTTATCAGGGTATGATTGGATCATCCAAAAGTTTGCCATTCTAATAAAATTAAAATAAAAAATTATGGTCTATTTACCCAGAGTATGAATTCAAGATCCGATTAGACGCAGAAGGATTAATATCTCACAATGCCCTTTTGATATCTACTCGATTCTGATGTTGTCTTTAACAATAGAAAATTATAAGTTTGAGTCTTGACTTAATTAATGATCATTAAGAATAAATAAATAAATTTATCGTATTAACCTTAACATAATATAAATATAAAAAATATAAAAAATAATATACATATGATAAGCATTATATTATAATATGAGGTATAGAATTATAAGGACCAAAATAACACAAATAGAAAATGTAAATTATAAATCAAAATAAATATGCAGAGATTAATACCAAATCAAATTTTAAATTAAAATAGTCAAACAACAATGAATTAAAGCTGAAAAAGACCGAATTATAAGTACAGAAAATGAGGAAAGACCAAAAGGGCTATTTACCCGTAATTGCAAAACAGGCACGCATTCTCCTGGAGCGAGTCGCGCGCACGGGCCATTTTCTTCAAAACGACGCTATTTTGGAATTTGAGTAGCCCTCCTAAAATAACGTTGTTTTGAGGTTTTAAACGGTAAAATTAGTGGGATAATGCAGGCCGCCTAATTATTTAGTTCAATAGGATATTTTGATTTTTGTTTGAGATCTACTGAAAATTAGTGGCATTCTCCTGGAGCGAGTCGCGCGCACGGGCCATTTTCTTCAAAACGACGCTATTTTGGAATTTGAGTAGCCCTCCTAAAATAACGTTGTTTTGAGGTTTTAAACGTTGTTTCATGAGATATAATTTTTTATTAAGTTATGAGATGTGGGTATAATAGATCGAATATATTTAATATATATTCAGGAACTCGTCATGTTCGCGTGACGAGTCCAAATAAAAATATTTTTTTAGAAATTTAAAAAATATTGTTAAAAATATATATATTATTTTAATGGGTAGGGAACTCGTCACACCAATGTGACGAGTTTCAAGGGGTAAAAATTTTAATTTTTCGACCGTTGGGGTGACCGTTGGCAAACGATCAATTTTTTTAAAAATTCAATGGAACTTGTCACTGTAACGAGTTCCAACGACTATTTTCAATTTGAAAAAAATTAACCGTTTATACTGTTGGATAGAGTATTATAAATAAAGGTTTTGGTTGGATTGATAAATAAAAACCTTCATAAATAAATTAAAATCATACAAATCAATACTTTTTTATATTTGTAAATATGTCATCTTCTATTTTTTTAATAGATATATCTTCAATACGTTCACTACGTCGGATTAAGACACCTTCATATTTTTCTTTCGTCGTTTTCTTCTCAATTTTTATACTAAAGTTTTTAATTTTTTCTTCACTCTCAACGAGTAGTTGCTACGCCGTTTCGGTAAATATTCATATTTTTTTCTTTTCTTCTCCTCTTCCATTTTCATTTTCATCTTCTTCTTGTTATGCTCCTCAACTACGTATTTTATTGCATCTTTTTCACACTCTTCATCTAAAGAAGAGCTTTAATCCAAATCGTTTATCTCCAAGCCAGTGTTGTCAAACCCAAAAACACCGTTCGCCAAATCATACCCAAAATTTTCTTACGACCACATTATTTAATAATCTCAATTTTTTCTCACTTCTCATACATCAAAACCTTCACCTTAAACCCTATTTATACTAAAATCATCTCCCAAAATAGTCGTTGGAACTCGTCACACTGGTGTGATGAGTTCCATTGAGTTTTAAAAAAAATTAATCGTTGGCCAACGGTCGAAAATTTCAAATTTTTTACCCTTTGAAACTTGTTACGCCGGCGATACAAGTTTCATGGCCATTAAAATATATATATTACAATGTTTTTTAAAATTCTAAAATTAAATTTTATTCAGACTCGACATACCCGCGTGATGAGTCCCGTGAAATATATTAAATATATTCGAACCTTATTAAAAAATTATATCCAACAAAACTCATCACAAACTGAACTCATCACACCGATATGAGGAGTTTCAATTACACAGAAACTTTTACCGTAAATCCTAAAATAAAAAAATAACTTGCCAAATTAGACTAATTAACCGGCCCGTTGGCGCCTATATTATCCCACTAATTTTACCGTTTTAAACACCCTTTTTCAATTTTTTATTTTATTTTTTTTCCTTATTACTTTCCCTCTTTAACAAATAAAAATAAATAAAATTCTCTAGCTTCTCTATAGAATTTGGGTGGATTTTGTCGTCATCTCTTCCAGTTGTTGTCGATAGTATACAAATATTATCAAAATTAACCAAGAGTATCTCATTAATCGGTGACAAACCTTTTGACTTTGATTTTTTCTATCTTTCATTATCCACCGTTAAAGTATCTCAGTTTTCAAATAGAAATCTTTTCTTTCATCTCATTAATTGAATTTACAAATAGAAATCTGAATTACCATGGACACCACCAACCGAAAGGATACGACGTTTTTCCTTAATTTTTGGCTGGTTTTG